AAAAAGCAATCGCTGAGTTGGGGTTTTTTTTCCTTTGGTCACAGGTAAATGTGCGAAATGGGATGACCTTACATGACTGTCTTATGAAGGCACTTAAAGTAAGAGGTCTGCAGCCAGAATGCTGTGCAGTTTTTCGACTTCTTACTGAACCAAAAGGGTAAGAGTCTGGAATGTTATATGTGAAACTTTCAACTAGAGAATGTAAAAATCTTGGGTTTAGAATAGCAGTAATAATGCTTTCTTCCTCTCTCTTGCTAGTTTCTTTTAAAAGCACAGTTTGTTTCTGAACACTTTCATGTTGCTTTGTTTACCATCCTCTAGGGAAACTCCTTCAGCTTCCTGGATATTAAAAATGTTATCTTTGTTTTAAAGCTAAATATTAAAAATACTCAAAATTGAGAGGTACACTCAAATGCTTGTAGCATGTGACAGAGGCTTTTGTCATACTCTAGATGAAGTGATGTGATATGCCTTCATATTTGTGGTGCATTTCTCCTCTGCATTTGTAGTTGGTAAATTTCAGTGCTAGTGATTCTAAGGCAACTTAAATGAGCATCTCCTCTGTGTGCTCAGTTTTAAGGCTCTATGTTCCTCTACAACTTTTCAATGTTTGGATTTACATCTCACTTCAGATATTCCTTATTTTTTGTAGGACCGGGGATGCTGCTATTAATACCAAATGATTCTTTTACAAGCTGAGGGAGTGAAGGTATCTCATGGAGTTAATACATTTAACTTCACACCTCGTAAAGCTTGGGCTTAATGCTCTTTTAAGCCTCAATCATGAGGCAGTCATTTGTGGGTTTACATCTCTATGTAACTGAGTCCATTCTGGGGTCACCAGTAACTTCAGTGCTGAAGCACATAATACGGCTTTCATGTCACTAAGTCTGCCATTCATAATTTCTTATATTTTGTTTATAAGGGTATTGCTGTGACTCCATTACAGCTTCTAGGTGTCTTATTTCAAATAATCTATATTTCTAAATGACTTACACGTTAAAAAATAAACAGAAAAAGACATGAATCGCTATGTTTTCAAAGTTGCTTCTAATTTTTTAAGTGAAAGACACTGAAATATAGCTTACTATGAGAGGTTAGCCACACTTTTTTGTATTTGTTTTCAGTTTACTCAAGAAAACTCACAAAACATAGATCATTAATTAGGCCAGACTCCTTATCTTCTAAGTAATTTTGTTGTCCCCATTTTTTCTCTCTTTCAGGAAAAAAGTGCGTTTGGATTGGAATACAGATGCTGCCTCCTTGATTGGAGAGGAACTACAAGTGGACTTTCTTGATCATGTTCCACTCACTACACACAATTTTGTAAGCTTTTCCTCTTTTGTATTTTGATGTGAATTGTGTCAGTTGAACCACATATTCAGTCAAAAAATGTTCTAGGCATTAGATACCTTTTGGCTTTCTAAACACAGGGCAGGATTTCAGAAGTAATGATTTGATTCCTTCACCCCCACTCCCCACAAATTAGATTGGCTAAATATATTCTTCAAAGGTCTGATGATTGCCATTTTTATTTTGTATAAATACATATTTCTGTAACTGTCGTATTAAGATATCATGTCCTCAAGGTCCAGAACTGGGAGATAACTTGCATTTTCAATCTCTGGCTCATCAGTCAAAAAAGGTTGGATAAATTCATCAGCTTTATTGGCCTGTTGGTAATTGTACTGGATGTACAGGGGTGCTGTTAATTCTGCAAGATCATGATGTTTTGTGAGCTAATGCTGCCTTGTAATTTGACAGAGTGTTTTTTGGGGGGATGAAAGACTTTAGATTTGTAGTTCCTTCTCAAAAATTGATTATTTGCTCAGTATAGAGCAAATAAATATAGCTTGTTTGTTTTTTTTTTTTTTTTTTTTTCTTATAAAACAAATGGATAATGCCTGACTCTAACAGTTTTACCTTGTTTACCTTGCGTTAGTTTGTTCTCCCTGGGAAGGAACTCTTTTCCTGTATTCTAGCATTTTTGTTGTTTTGTCCCAGAAAGATACTGTGCCAAGTGGCAAAACTAAAAGATTATCATTTACATCGATTAAAAAGGTTAGGATTGATTTACGAAAACTGAAAGTAGCTTTCCTTCTACTTTACAGTTTTAGAAAACTACAAATAAAATCATCTGCAGTTGGTTACCAGAAAACTGTATTTTTCTTCAGATCTGGAAGAAGCTTAAACTTTGAGCCTTCCTCTACAGTATACTCTGGAGGAAGAAACCCTTCGGTTCATTTTAGTATTTTTTGTATTTCAGAAGCTTTTAAAAAAAAGTTAGATGCCATTTAAAAAAGTAGGATTTCCTTAAACTATTTTGTTTACTAAGGAATTTATTTCTCATGCAAGGGGTATTAGTCATAAACACACAAGAAGCATTTTAACTAATAAAAAAATTACAAGGTGGTTCTTACGATCTGATCCTCCTTCACCTTCTTCATGATACTAAAAACAAGCAAAAAAACCAACTCTTGGCCCACCCAACTCTGTCATCTTATTGAGCACAAAATAGTGCTTTTGGATGTGACAGAACACTTTTGCTTTTGGATGTGAAAGAACATTTTCCCTCCCCCCCCCCCCCCCCTTTCTTTTTTTAAAAATAATCAGGTAAACAAAGCCCTAAATGTTTGTAAGCTTTCCATGTTTCCAATGAAATTGGAGATACATGCAAGAATACTCAAGTGTGGTTTTAAGTTCAGTAGCACTTTGGGGACACTGATAACATTTTAACATGGTATTTATTTATGTCAAGCGCTGAAGATGTTCATCTCAGCTAATGAAGAGAAGCTAGTAGCTTGGATTAAACATTTAATGTGTTTTCTAGGCTCGGAAGACATTTCTAAAGCTTGCTTTCTGTGACATCTGCCAGAAGTTCCTGCTAAATGGGTTTCGGTGTCAGACATGTGGTTATAAATTCCATGAACACTGCAGCACTAAAGTTCCAACCATGTGTGTCGACTGGAGCAATATCAGGCAACTCTTGTAAGGACTGTTCCTTTTTAATAGCAACAGTAATTCTCTGTGACAGACAAGCATTGGGTTTTTTAATCTCTTACCATAGAGATAAATTTGGATTGTTGGGAAGTGTAGGCACCTTCGTCAACATACAGAACTTGTGTATTGATTTCATAAAACAGCCAGCAATGATTGTCTATTCCCAGGTGAAGAAGGCCATTTACATTAAATGCATTTTGTTCTTGCTGTAAATTTTAATATTCTGGGACAAGCAAACAAAGATCTTGAATGACTAGGCAGTTGCTATAATGCCCTCTGTTTCAACAGAGTCATAGTAATTCCTCTTGCATAACACTTTTGTTATAAGAAAAAAAAGGTCATGATTCAGTTGTTTTTTACCTGTTGGAAGCATGAGTGTTCAGAACTATCACAACTTTTGACACCCTGTTGAAAATGCATGGAATGGTGAGAAAACTGATGAAGAATAATACTTTCCCAATATTGGTTAGAAAAAGTTGAAAATGATTATGTTAGAAGGAGTCCTTTTATGCAAAAGTGTTAAAACCTGTAATTGATTTTATGTGCCTTACTGAGTGATTGTATTTTTTTATAACTAAACTTGGTCATATAGTTACTCATTTTCTTATACTGACTAGTCATCAGAGTGTAGGATGACTTGTGCCACTTGGTGCTACCTGGGTTTAAAAAAAATTGTTGTCAAATACCCTTTCAGGGAAACCTGAAGTCTGATGTAAAAAGATTTGTATCTTAAGTTTAGAAAGAACACATGGAAATTTTCTTTGGGAGTCTGAAGACATAGTTTTTAGTCATACCATACACAGAGGAAAAATATTATGTAAAGATAGGAATGTGTTCGTAAAGTTAATTGTGCTGGAAAAAACCAGCCCGTTAAATTTTAAGCTTTAAAGAGCATTGTACAGGAGGTAGTGTAGCAGTTGAAATTGTAATTGTTTTTGTTGATATTTCAGATTGTTCCCAAATTCAAATATCAGTGACAGTGGTGTCCCTGCACTACCTCCCTTGACAATGAGACGGATGCGGGAGTCTGTCTCCCGGATACCTGTTAGGTAAGCTAGTATTTCCTGTCATTTCTGTTTTGGGAAATACACTTGTTTAAAAACAAAAATCCAAAACACCCCCAACTCCTCAAAACCAGAACAATCTTATAGAAGGTTGGGATAAATGTGCAAGAAGGCAACACCACTTCATCACAGATAATATGTAGTGTCCTTTCTTGTTGTTAGATTCAAGCAAAACATTGATTTGGGATTTTATATTTTTAATTTTTAGTCTGAAGACTTTAAGGGAGGGTATTAAAAGTTTTCTGGAGACCTTTGTTTTCGTACCTAAGAAAATGCAAGGCTCCCTTTGGTATTTTTGTGAATTAATTTTATTTTACCTGATCAGGTAGCATACATGTAAGGGTTTGTGACTCGTTTTGCGTGACTCGTTTTGCATGACTCGCATACATAAACTAAAATAGCATTCTAATGTTATGATGACAGATAAGAGTTTAAAGGGAGAACAGTGGAAACTGAAACTGTGTTCCTCTTAAAGAAAATTTTGAGACCTAAAGAGAATGTTCCTGTAGTTGTAAATGCTAGAATAAAAATTGCTTTCCTTTCAAAGGGGCCTGTCTTCTGATCGTAATTGGTGCCTGTATTCTTTTCCTTGAAATTCTAGAGGCTGAAGAGGGCAGGCCATCTTTTGTTTTTTCTACATCCCTTTGAAAAATCTTGGCCTATTCAGGAATGAGGCACAGAGCATGTAGCTGACTTGCAAATGGTTCTATGTATTTATTTACTTACTTTAGTGGGAACTGCATCAGGAATTGATCTTGTATTCTCTTTGCCATCTTATTCTATTTCCAGTGTTGTTGAACAATTATAGTTTTCTAAGCTTTTTGTGAAGGCTGGCTGATTTCAGTTGAGATACTTGTGTGATTTGCGATAAATAAGGTTTGAGTGACCTTAGCTGTGATTTATAACTCTTTGTTGAACTGGATTTTAGTGTTGGCCTCCTTTTAACTGGTATTGCGTTTCATGACTTCCTTGCTGGCTGTTCTGTGCGAACCATTGAACAGTCTTGCAAACCTTTACAAATTCAGGGCTTAGCAGTAAAAGTAGCTCTTAAGCTATGCATTTAACAGGCTTGAAATGAGCAGTTTGTTTAAATTTCACAGACCTGAATTAATCCAGCAGGGCCAATATTTTATCAGTATATTAAATGTGATTTGATGGGGATTGAGGTGAACTGTGGCAAAATCTATAACCACAGAAACAGACTTATGTTAAAAACACTAGATAAGTATGTAAGCTAACAAGATCTTCAAGTTTTTTAATTTATTTCCTAAGCTAAACTGGGAATGATTCAGCAAATAGTTTAGTTAATGTGTAAGTCCCAACTTTTTCTCTCTTTGGAACTCTGTGTATATTGCTTTTGGACAGGTTGCATTCAACAGTATTTTTCAGTTGCTAGAGGGGAAAAAATAACCACAACTTTCCCTTTCTCTGTCTTGTCTTCTCAGTTCCCAGCACAGGTATTCTACACCTCATGCCTTTACATTCAACACATCGAATCCTTCCTCTGAGGGCTCCCTTTCCCAAAGACAGCGATCTACATCCACACCAAATGTCCATATGGTTAGCACTACAATGCCTGTAGACAGCCGGATAATTGAGGTAATATTGGTAGGGAGGGAATAGCATAAAGTTAAACTAAGATTGTGACTGGCCATCTAATAGTTGCTGGTTGGTTTTTCTTCTTTGCTTTCTGTCATTTGCTTACTGTTTGCCTTAGTTGGCTGAGTGCTGAAGAATATAGGTGACACGTTTGTATAGAAAGTTAATGGTTCATTCTTGCAATCTTTATCAACTCTGCTGAAGTTCTAGGTAGATTTTTGGTGTCTGTAAAGAAGTGGGGGAGCTTAACAATAAAGTTCCGCAAATCTGAAAAGAAAATAAGCTCAGTTTTGCTGAAGAAATACTTATTAGGCACGTTTAAAAATGTTCTTTCAAATCTACAAATCTGGATTTGTTGGGGGGCTGGTGTTTATTTTAAATCAGACTACAGGTACTGTAAGTCTGGATGTAGTTCTCAAGAGTTGGAATACTCAAGTCAAAGCTTACTGGCATTATGTTTTGTGTTACAACTGTATGGAATTAACAGCGATTCTGGGCTTACGTGCTAACGGTATCTCTATCTGAGAATATTTCTGCTGTTACTTGCTTTCAAGCACCTTTTTCTTTTATTTTTTCTCCCTACCTTAGACTGGCAGTAGTGAGAGACAATTCTTTGAAGTCAGGCCTAAAGTGTTTGTTTTGTTTTGTTTTGTGATAACCTTAACAAAATAAGGGAGTGGTGTGCAGGAAGGAGTTGCAAAAAGAAAGTGCTGAACTGCAGGACTTCAGAGAGAACACTTTTTTTTTGTTTTGGGGTTGTTTTTTTCCCCCCTGGAATAGTTTAAAAAACTCCTTAGGCCAAGGAAAAAGCCTTTGACTGTTGAGTTTAGTTGCATCTTCAGCTGGTAGTTTACAGGCTTCTATGAAACGTGAAGACTCTCTGAAGTGGGCCAGAGATGTCCTCTGGACCTTTGATGGAGCTGAAGAAAAGTGCACTGCAGCCCCATGAAGCTTTTTTGTTTAGAAATTTTGTGTCAGCTGGGCTTTATGTAAAGGTATTCTCCCTTTCTCTTTGGTTTTCTTAGGCTTACAGCCTTTTTTACTGCTTCAGAAGCCTGGCTGCGATCTTTTATGGCATGAAAAATAATGAAGCACTCAAGAAAGAGAACATGAATTATCGAACTTTGTAGTGTGATGAGCCTTTAAGGAGACATTGCTTTCTTTATCCTTTATGCATAGCAGTAAAGACAGAAATGCTTTCTATTGTGGCTCTTCATAATATCATAGAGACTGAATAAAAACAGCTGTCATGCCTTAAAAGCAATAGCTGCTTTTCCAAAAGGCTTTAAAAAAAAACTTAAAAGAAAAAAAAAACACCACAAAAAAAGGTAGTAGAGACCTAGTATGACATGAGAAAGACCACCTCAATGAAGTGGTTTACCAAAGGATGGCTACTAGTAAACTTCTGGGTTTGAACAGGAATACTTACTTAAAAGTTTTACTGCACTTAATTATCATATATCATACAAATTAGGTTACATTTTCTTTCATTTATTCTAACATTTAATTTTAAATTTTTTTTTTTTTATACTTCCTCTGTTCTTTTCTTTTATCTCTTACCGTGTTGACCTAGAATAACAGCCTGAATGCTTCTCCCAGTTCCTGGTGCAGACGATTTTGTTTGAGGGGAAGAGTAGGTATTTTCTTGGTGCCTTTTGTTTTCTTGTGATTAACAGGATTGCTATAACTTGTAAGCCATGGCAGTGTCCACATGAAATGTTTAATTGGGAGTTGATTTGATGAAAATCTTTATAGCATGTTTATACTTAAATATTGAGGATGCTAATTGGAAGAGGCAAATTGATAGAAGAGCCTAATTTTTAGTTTAGCTGGAATCCATGCTACTATGAAATGTGGTGGGAATTTGAATAGGCTTGGATTAGAGATGCATTTGGTCACACAGGTTTTTAAAGCAAAACCTTCTCAAACACATCTATTGTGTGGCTTTTTTCCTCTGGAAACTATTTTGTTGAATATAACTGTACAAAACCCTTAGATTAAGAACACGTGAAATAAAAATAGTACATCATCAAAAGCAAAGGTGATGGACTACAGCACTGTGTATGGTATTACTTGTTGTAAGAACAACTCTAAAGAACACTGGTTTTAGTTCATTTGCTGTAGGATTCATAAGCAAAATAGAAAATACTCACATTAGGACTGAAGTTAAAAAATACTTTTTTTCTTAAATAAGAATTATGTATATATAAGTATGAGAACAATTTTAAATTAGTTATCCTTTGCCAGCTTACTTGAAAGCAGTTACAATCTCAGGCTGATGTACAAAACCCATCACTTGTTATTAATTCAGGTTCTTAAAGATTTTTATTGTCCTCAAAATGGACAAAAGTAGTGACTTGCAAGAGTTCTTCATTGGTAGTCATGCAGATTTTAATCCACTCAGGCATAGAGTAGAGTTACTGTGCAAGAATACTGTGTATAGAGTCAAGCCTGGGAGAATGCAGCTAACTAGCTCAAATGAAGTATTTCCTAAATGAATCTTTACTAAGGGTAATCTGAGCTAATTTGAAAACTGTATGGTGGAATGTAGGCTTGTTCTGTCCTCCTATGAAATCTTACATTTATTATTCTACTAATTAGTTAGAAAATTTGAATTGACTTCTATTAACTTTGACAGTGTTTAACATTTCTGTAGTGCATGTTCTTGCTTTATACTTATACAGTACCTGGATATTTTACCTTTCCTGTATGTACTTTGGGATAATACATAGCAGGTGAGAAAAGTTGTAAAGTCATGTTTGTCAGAGCTTAGTTTATCTTGTGCATGGCTGTAGAATTGTGTTGTAAAGTGCCTGTGGCATGAGGTGAGAGTTGTCGCGCTGTATCAACTAGTGAACATGCTTTTCAAATATCATCAAACTTTAATCTGTGGAAAAGTGTTTTGAAAATCAGATGTTTTCGTATTAGGGCACTAGATGTAGCCTTTTTTGGGTTGAGATAGTATGGTAGAGATATTTCAAAATGTATGTTGACTTGGAATACTTTAGGGGCTTTTAAAGGTTTTCCTACTTGTAACCCAAACCTTTTTGAGAACTTGTCCTCTAGAGATACAGGACTATCACAGGAGCTATGTTCAGAGCTGAAATACAAGCACGTACAAAAATCCAGTGGTGGGAATGCAGACAGTATTACTGGTGTTTCTTCTTGTTCCATGTCTTCCCCTGCCACTTTTTTTTGGTAGTAATACCTTTTAATAACACTGTGAATATTTTTAATGTTTTGTAAGAATTCACAAATTGCGTGGTTTTTAGCATATAGGATTCTGGTAACTAGAAAATAACCAAGCTGTCATCTTTTGGAGGATGTTGGTCAATACCATATCACACTTGACCAAAACTGTCAGGAACGATTTCAACGCTATTTCTGCTTGTTCCCTTATATGTTCTCATATATTTATTAACTTTATCTCCTCTGTTTTAGGATGCAATTCGAAGCCATAGTGAATCAGGTATGGTTTCCAAAACCAAATTAATATATAATATTATTTTGTGTTTATTTTCTGGTTCATAATTTTTTATGTGTGTGTTTTTGTATTTAAGCTTCACCCTCTGCTCTGTCTGGAAGTCCTAACAATATGAGCCCCACTGGCTGGTCTCAGCCCAAAACCCCAGTTCCAGCCCAGAGAGAGAGAGCCCCTGGATCCAATACACAAGAAAAAAACAAAATTGTAAGTATGGTAGTATATGATATTTTAATTTTTTAAAAAAGCATATTAAACTAGGCTGGGAGTAGTGGTGTGTTAGTGGAAAAGTTAGAATAATAATGAATAATAGCTCAAATTTTCTGAAGGCTTATAAGATTTAAAAATGAAAGTACAGTTGCTTAGTGGGACTCACAGATGTTAATCACTTAAACAATTGAGAATTCTGCTCTCATCATTTTGGTTTATTCCCTTTAAATATGTAAATGAGTTCCTGAACTTTAGTACTGTAATTTTGAAAAAATCAGTAAGTTTCTAAAGTATTTCAGATGTCTTTAAATAGTTGATTATAAAATATTTATTCCCCTTAAGTTCTAAGATCAGAGTTTAAGTTTCTAGTGCAGAACTTAATGATAGTTTCTTAAGCAGTTAAAGCCATCCAAGAAAATGTTTTGTCTTTTTCTTTTTTTCTTTCTTTTGGTAAAAAAATCCACCACCCCTCACAAATTGAGGAGAAAAACAAAAGTCCAAAATGGAGGACAAAACCCTCAAGGTTTCGGTGCATCTTAAACTTGTATGAAGAAGTTATTTCATTCTTGGTGTGTATATGTAATATATTTGATTAAATACTTAAAGCCATGTCAATTTTTTGTTCCAGAGGCCTCGTGGACAGAGAGATTCCAGTTATTATTGGGAAATAGAAGCAAGTGAAGTCATGCTTTCTACCAGAATAGGGTCAGGTTCTTTTGGAACTGTTTACAAAGGCAAATGGCATGGTAAGTTCATGACAAGTGTTACCATCTTCTTAAAATGTTGATGCTGTAGGACAGCAATCCAGAAAAAAGGTAAAATTGTTTTAATGGTGCCATTACCTACCACTAAAGGTACTAGGTGAAAAATATTAATTTCCTAATATTAATAGTGGGGAAATGAAGGGAAAGAACAGACATCAAAATATGAATTTCGCAACTGCCATCTACTTGTTCACTGTATTGGAGCCAACATTGTTTTCTTTATTACCATGTTCTACAACAGCTTGTTTACGGAAAAGATTTCACTTTCCATTAGCAACATTGAAATAGCAGAATTACCTGGGAAATTTCACAGTTTTATGTTAAGTTAAATTTACCTTTTTTTTTTAATACCTCTGTGGCTTCATTAGCATAGTTATATTCAAGGTGGCAGGGAAAGGAAATAAGGATGATTGCTTTTACTGTGGAGTTTTTCTAAGGAAAAAATGGTTGATGTGAGAGTTTATGATATAAAGTTAGCTGGAATACTTTGAAAAGAGGCACACTGCAGAACTACAGAATTAGGTTCCAGATTCAGGGTTTGTGATTTAAAAAAAAAAAAAAAAAACATACAAACCCCTCCAAGCCCTAATTTAAATAGCATTATTGTCATAAAATAAGCTGACAAAAAAAAAAAAATCTGGAAACTTATCTTTCACCCTCTATTTTTAAAGCATAAATACTTATATATCTTTAAGCCCAAATGTCAACATCAATGGAAGGACTATTCTTATGCCAAAAGTAATACTCATGAACAGTTAAACTGATTTTCGTTCTATAAGTGAAATGGAACACAGAAATCAAGAGGAAAGATAGGTTAAGTAAGATTTTGCTAAACAAGGTAATAAATGTGAATTTCTTGTTACTATACTTGAATTTCATGTTAATAAATACTCTTCGTGTATCAAGAACTTTGGTTCTTCATATGTTAAACAGGAAATACATTGAGCTACATATTTACAAAGAACCTTCAGTTGTGTGCACAAGGTGGCTGTATAGCTGTCACCTACCTTGATAAGATTTAATGTCTTATTTGTGGTAACTGTTTATAGTTCTCCTGATTTCTCAGGAAAGTAGAAGTTAAAGTACTAGGTTTTTTTCTTTTTTTTTTTTCGGTGTGGTCTTAAAGAATTTAAAGGGTTTATATTTCTTGCAAGTTCTTTTCTGCTTAGAATTGAAGAAACTGGGAGTTCACAGTGCACAAATTAGTGAAACTGCAGACTACTTTGTAGTAACCTATACTAATAGCACAAATGCAGCAATAAAAATATCTTGGTGAAGCTAAATGAAATTAATTGAAGTGGGCAGATTGCTGCAAACTTAAGCAAAAATTCTATATTAAGTTAGAGGTGTTGGGTTTCCTAACGTGTGAAACTATGAAGGGCTGTTTGCAATGAATCTTTGGAGAGCCTGTGGAAGATTGTGTACATCTTATATGCAAACCGTATTAGGTTTCCAATGAGCTTCCCTGATTTAGTCTTCCAAAATAAAAATGAAGTGTCAAGGACAGTCTTGCTCTGAGGAGACCATGTCTCATTGAACAGGTATCTTGCAGTTCCATATTTTTCCAGATTGTTCTGATGGTTAAGTACTAATTTTCGTATTTGCACCACTTCTGTTACAGACCCCATTTGGATCCTGTAGTGTCCTGTAGCATGCTTCTAAATTTAAAAGGCGGAAAAAGAACCAAGGCAGTTTAAATGGGTTGGAAGACTACCTATCATAAACACTCACATTTCCCCTTTGACCCTGGTAATCAGTTCTAGGGTTTTGGTGGTTGGGGGGTGGTGGAAGCTGATTTGTCTTCAGATTGCTGCTAAACAAAACAAGTGCTATTGTATATTTGTTTCTGTAGAGAAGACTGCTTGGGAAATGCCATCAAGCCTAAAAAAAGTGTGGCACCTGATTCAGTAAGAACAGTGTAAGGTTTAAAACATCTTTTCATCCGTGGAGCAAGGATCATAATGGAGAATATATTGAAAAATAATTTGAAAACATTTGGCTTGTAATCAGTGGATGCTTCATCCTTGCCTTGTCTTGGCATAGCTCATAGCAATATACTTCAAGTATTGGGAGACCACCTATTGGTCTTGCTTTGTACATCAACAGGAGTTGCAGTAGGAACTGGCTACTTCAAAGGTTGTGATTTTGGTAGTCACATGGAAGTGTAGTCTTTCTACCAGTTATTTTCTCCTGTTCTGGTCTGGAAGCAGAGAGATCTGTAAGTTATACAACATTATGCATGCTACAAATGTGAGATGGTTCTCTTTATGAAGATGATAGAGGATGAAATAGGAAGTATATTGCGTTTACTGAAGTTGAAGGAAGACGATATAAATGTATAATAATGTGTTCGATATTTGTGCATCTTTGTGACTTCAAATTATACAGTAAATTAAGCAAATGGGAACTACAGTGAAAGATACTGCAGTTCAGTCAAGGTACTCTGAAACTTTGAAGTACCAGTTTGCATATCCTTCTCATACTTTGTTGGCAACTTTTTTTAATTGAGCGGTTAGTATTCCTAATGTATTCAGTTGATCATTATATTCCAGAGACATGCTAACATATTTTTCAAAAATATCTTGGAAAAGAGACCATATTAAGAAGAAAATAATTAGTGCTTGTGGTAGCAGAGAAATCTGTCACTCTAGGGATTTTTTTTTTAATGTAGGTGATGATTCTGTAATGCTAAGTGGCAGTATTATGGAATAAGCCTGTGTTGGAGTATAGCATCTCTCAAATCTTTTTACTGCATGTGGACTAAGATTGAAGTTTCAGTTTTCCTAAGCTGCTTTTACCTTCCTGTGACATGTCAAGGCAAGTTTATCCCCCTCTTGAATTCTAAAATGCTGTCCATCTGTAGTTAAAATGAATATGGTTTACTTCTTTCACTGAGGAATTGGTGGGTCTTACCATTAGTGCTTTTACTTTTGGTAGAACAGTCGGCTTCATTCCACTATTGTACCTTTTTTGAATCAGTTCAATTCTACTGTTTTCTGGATGTACACTGCAAAGGATTTTACAACTTTATTCTCTGGAAACAGTCTCTAAACAGATAGCACTGGATCATTATATGCTCCTCTCTGTATTACCCTTTAATGGATAGTGAAATTTAAAACAAGCACTGACACTAAAAAGCAATTCAAGTGAAGCTTTTTATAATGTATCAGCTTAAAGTACAGTGAGATATTCTGCTTTCCGTAGTCCCCAAATTTGTTATTGAAATATTAAAATCAGTTACATTGTTCATGATTTTTCTGTAATTCCTGGATAGAAATTTTATCCCTCCCATTTCTGAAATGTAGCAGTATTTAAATCTAGAAAGTTTGTTTTTTAAATAAAGTTTATATTAAAAAAGTATATGTGTGTGTGTATATACATATATATAGTTTATATATATAAACCCACTTTAATATATAAACTTAATTACATAAAAATACAAAGGTGTATATGTATATGTGTGCTAAAGCTGCATAGAAAGGGAAAGTGATGAAACTTTGGATACTGTTTGGAAGCTTAGAGACTCTGATGTGACGGTGCTTGAAATAATGTGCTGAGAATGCAGCTACACTAGAATAACTTCATTTTCAACAGCTGTTTGAGATTTCAGTAGCTTCATATCCTGCAAAAAGCATACGTGTAGTTCTAGCCAGCCATAGCTGTTAAAAAAGAGAAGGGAATCACGTGAACAATTAATGACTTTTCCCATTAGACTGAAACTCAGGTAAATGAATTGCTTGATACTACGGAAGTTTATGTGTCTGCAGGAAAATTTTGACCTATGTACAAATTTGTAGAGGTGTACTGTGCACAAATTAGGAATTTTAAGTATACTGTATGTTAATAATTTTTTGGGGGGCGGGGGGGAAGCTGCATTTTTAGTAACTTTTATGGTAAATGTATTTTCAGGGGATGTAGCAGTGAAGATACTAAAGGTTGTAGATCCAACCCCAGAACAGTTTCAGGCTTTCAGAAATGAAGTGGCTGTATTAAGGTGAGTTGGTAGTTTCATTGCTAAATTCTGTTATTCCAAGGCAGTGTATTTGAGTACTACCCATTCTTTAAGCCCTCTTGCCCAATATTCTGTGTTTGATACGCACAAAAGGCAGATCTCCAGAGAAGAATAATAAAAGAGAGATCGTATAGTGATACTTCTGAATATTGTGGAGCTGTGAGACAGCAATCATAACTCAGAGTATTTCAGTGTTCTTTACTGTTTCTGAAAATCGTCTTTTCAGATAAATAATACTAACATCCATAATTGTTCAGGTCACATTTTGCATGCAGTAAAAGGTGAGGATTAATGAATTCTGCCATAATTCTCATCACCGGACAGAATACTTGAACTGTACCTTTTAGAATTGCAGCATAATTCTCCCCC